TCAAATTCGATTATGATTATGGCATCCCTCTTCATAGTTCGAATTGTGAGAAATGGCAAAAGGTCTAAACATTTGAAACTTATTGTTGTAAGTTTTAAAATTGTTTAGACACACATATGAGCTTTCTTATAAAAGGTGTGTGAGCTTAGATAAAGGCTTATCTAAGCATCTCGTGTCAGAAATCTGAACTTTGGTAAGAAAGTCAACAAGTATTGATTTTTAGAAGTCCAACTTATTTCTGGGTACATGTCAAAGCTAGTGGGAGCATAAGTGTTATGCTAGTAAGATAATAATTATTATGCTAGTGGGAGCATAATTATTATGGTAAGTGTTGCGAGTTAGCAGTGTTAATTATAGAAAACAAAGGTTTCAATTCGCAAAGTTGCAGGGTTGAAAAGTTGTTTTGCTATAATTAAGGGAGAGGAACTTATACTTCATTTCAATTCTAAAAGTTTAGATTGAGATTTTAATTAAATTTAGTCAAGGATTTATATGAATACCATGTTGAAATGCTTCAGCATTGGAAATTCTATATATGGAAATATTATAGCAAAAGACTGGTCAAGTATCATTTTTTTATGTAAGACATTATGAATCGTATCCCATATGTTTCGGGTATAGGATCGATTGCATATGCTATAATATTAATGTTTTCTAATTTTCCAAATGCCTAGGGCATTAAGAGGGAAAAAGACTAGAACTGGATATGACTAAAGTTATTAAACAACTACTAAGAACAATCCAAGGTTCGCCAAAGATTGGTTGTTTATGGATAGTTGGAAGTATAGTAATGGATGGACCATATTGACATTATTATGAATAGACATGATTCTTTTAACAATGAGTTGTCATATGGCGAATATGGAAATGTTTCCATAATGGGAGTTAGATATCAAGAATCCATGAGAAAGTTTGAAACTTTTATGCAAGAAGGATGTTCAAAGGAATGTGCTTTGAATATGAGACTTCGGATCTATAGAATTGTCTTGTAACAATCTCCAATGGAAAGTTTTGTAATTGTCAAAGTCTCTGTGACTTGTGTACATAGTCATTACAAAAGGATCAATGCATATAAGTTTAGAATCTAACAAATTATAGTAAGTGGCAAGAACTTGGTATTCTTACACTTGCGATAAGAATTTGGAATTATGAAATTAGTATTGTTGGAAATGTTTACAATTGATCTATTTCACAAAATAAGGACCGTAGGTAAACATAGTGTGCATGCTTGGAGCATGGGATAGCTATTGTTTTAATTCAAGTATTAGTGGATAAATCGAAACAATATACAATGAATAATGAGTAATCAATATGCTGATTAAATAAAAGGTGTTTTATTTACACTCAAAAGTTTTGGGGCCATATATGATTAATATTATTCTTTTGTTTCACTTTGCATGTTTTGACTTTCCGAATAATAATATTATTCAAACCATCCATAGTCGATCATACGTTGGAAGTAAGTATGGAAGAAGACTGTCATGAGTTGACTTGTAGATTGTCTAAGGCGTTAGGCATAGCAACAGTTTGCTACACCATTCATGAGTACTTCTAAAATAAAATTTGAGTATTGGATCAACCCGCGCTCACTTGAATCACTTCATGGAATTTATCATGAGTGATCGTGAGACGATAATATCATATAAGTCTTCAAACCTAGATATATGAGTTGTTGACTATGAATTAGTTGTGCATTGATGATACGAAAACGCATCAGTAACTTGATGTTATAAAACGTATCGTTGTGCATAATTTAATGAATAGTTAGTACAAGCATATAATGTCGAAGTTTATCTGTTCCTTTTATCCTAAGAGGATTAAAAGCGATATCTTGGGCCCCTCGATGATTCTGTTTTGACTTATGTGTCGGGCCCGGTCAGAACTAAATTAATGTGTTCAGTTATGTTCTATGTCAAACGAATCGGAAATCGGGAAACAAACTGCTGGACAATAAGTATGACATTGTTCCATGTATTTGTCCAGCTGATATCTTGAAAACAGAGGATTATATGATCCCTTATCTAAAGGATGCGTTAGTGACTGGGTCAAAGTTGACAGCGGCTTTTCAAAGCTTATGATTGCTAAGTTGGATCCTAGAGTTACATTGGCAGTTATAGTTATTAGACTTATCCAAGTGGGAGACTGTTGGATTTAGTGTCTAAGCCCATAACTATAGCTAGGATGTACTTGACCCGATTGTAGCATGGTCCTTTTGGGTTGCCTTCATCAGTGCAATTTGATAGGATGGACTTTTGAGAATAAGATTATTTATGATTTATTAATATATTACAAGTATAATATATTAATATGAAATCATATTATTTAATTAGTATTGATCAAGAATTAATTTGGAATTAATTTAGTGATCAAAAGAGACTAATTAAATATATGAGGATTGATTGTGTAAATAAATGATTCTAATAGTGTGGGCTAATGATCCATGGTTATTTAGGATGGGCTAAACCAATGAGATAATCCATGGATAGTCCATGGAGGTTAACCCATTGAGCCTAAGTATATGAAAGGTCATTAGGGTTTACAAAGTGTAACCCTAGCATTTGTCACACTATAAATAGAGTCTCCTAGAGCCAAAATCGGTTGCCCCATCATTCCAAGAGAGTGATACACGATTTTGAGCTTGCTAACCTATTCTATCAAGCCTCCTCGTGCATATGGTGTTTGTGAACCATTAGAGGCATCACACTTGAGGTGCTCAAGCTTTCAAAGGTCAAGAACTACAAGTCCTTCTAAAATGTATGTCATCTAACTAGATGTTTTATTCAATTGTTCAACTGTATGCTAGTTAGGACAATGCTTTGGAAAATTGAAAATATGCATGTATAATTAGAGAAAACATAAATCCAAAGCATTTAGGGTTGCATGTGCACCATAGGAATGTTATAGTGCTCAAAACTCATCAGTTGACCCATTAACACCTGACTGCAAACAAAAGTTCATATGACTTCATGAATGAATAAATTAAGAAAGTAATACACAAGTGTGAAGGGACATAAGAAATACTAAGAATAAAGATAAGAATGGAGATTGGAGAACATAAAATACATTAAGTATCTCGGACATTGTGGAGGAAATTCAAGACAAATGGCATCAAATCATTTGTCTCTTGTCTTATTGGATGAGAATTATTTTAGCAGCAGCACTATCTCTGGAATGTGAAAGAGAAGAAATGATTAGGAATTAATAAAGCTACACAAGAACTTATATAATACATATGTGATTGGTGGTTTATACTGAACAAATTATTTGACTTTATATAATACATATGTGATTGGTGGTTTATACCGAAGCAAGGTGGGATGTTGTTTTTCTGGAATGCTAAAACCTCCGACATCATAAGCTCTTCCTGTTTCAGATCACACATGAGTTCCATGATAAAAAAAAAAGTAAAAAAATTATAATTTACTAAATTAAAATATACCTTAAAGGACGGCGATGCTCAATAGACTACTGCATCATAAGCTCCTCTTGTTTCTGGAATGGTAAAACCACTACCTTTATGTCATGCTGAGAGCGAACGTTGTCGGAATCACCAAATGGAAAACCACTGGCAAAATTTGTTCCTTTAGTTGTCATAAATTATTCACACCTTCCACGAAATATAGCTTTCCTCAATTTGTCATAATTCCACCAAATCAACGAGGTAATGAAAATAGATCGAGTTAATGAAAACAAAATAAAATCACGAAGTCATTCATTATACTTACTTGAGAATCAAAACAGAGGTGTGATCTTTGTAACTTGTGGCTGTAGGAATTACGATCGAAAAAGAAGGAATCTACGACAGAAGATCCTCTCCAGTTCGAAGTGATCTACATATGCAGTTGGAAAGTCGTTTACAGATTTACAGATCGATAGAGCAACGTAATTGATTCCATCGGAGGTAGAGGCAGTCATTGACGAGCGGAGGGAGAAGCATAACCTAAATATGTTGATTCGTGGATTAAATTTTTACGACATGGACATTAGAGAGTGCAGATGTGCGAAGGGAGCCATAGATTCCGGTCAGCGATGCTTGATTTTGGCAAACGATATTCGAATGGAAGAGAGATATCCAACTGTTGATTAATCGCACCTTCTTCACGTTGATCGGGTTCAATGAAGCCTGGATCGTTCGAGGATTAGGGAGAATGGTCGATTGTCGGAGATGAGAGAGAGAGAGAGACGTGATGATTTGGTTTGACCTGATTTGAATCAAGGATTGAATTTGGTTTATGGGTATAAATTAAGTTATCCCAAAATGCCCCTGGATCATTTTAGTCAGGTACCCCCGCGTCTTTTTTTTAAGAATTTACAAAACTGCCATAAATCATCTTCACCTTCTATTATTTTGATCTAATGGTTCTTATTTGGTTCTTGGGTTCTCGGAAAACTATGAGTTCGATCTCATCCCTATATATATATATATATATATATATATATATATATATATATATATATAGGAGTGGTTCAAATGATAACCAAAAAATGTTAAGAACCCTAAGAACCATTATTTAAAATGTTTTTATTAAGAGCATTTTGGACAAATCCAACATTCATAATGTATTAAACAAAAATTTTAATTTCCTAGTTTACAAACTACTTGCAACTTGTTGTCGGACCACCATCGGACTATCGTAGACCACCATCGGACCGTCATCGGACTAACATGAAATTCAGTAGCATTTTTCTAGTCATATTCACAGCTTAATAGAAAAACATTGTAGCTTCCATTTTATTAGTAATACTTTTTATTTTTTCAGCCAAAATATACAAAATTTTAGTAATATATATATATATATATATATATATATATATATATATATATAATTATGTGTAGAAAAAATCAATTTTCTTTTTTCTAAATTATAGATTTTTTAAATAATATATCGTGTATAAGAAATATTAATATTCACAGTTTAAAATACAATATTCACAGTTTAATATACATAATACTTTACTAATACACAATTTACTTTCATGAATACCTTTCTTTATATTTTAACACAACATTTATTTTAATACATAAAATTCACAACATAACATATTACAAGCCATTATACACTAATTTACATATTTAAAAAGTCAAACCTAAACTCTCCCACCACCATTGTCACGACCAACTACCACATGTCACCACCAACCACACGTGTCACCGTGTCGCGATCATCCTTCATCCTGAATCTGTAGATATAAAATCATTGACTGAAAAATTAAATATTATATTCACAATTTAATAAACCAATTAATTTACTTATTCATAGTTTAATGCAAAAGAATTATAAAAACTAATACATTTTTACATATTTGTATAACAAAAAAATAAATATATTAACATGAAATTAATATAACCATTCATACATAAATAATTTATATTTTAACACAAGGTTCATTAAAAATTCACAGCTTAATACAGACAATTCACAGTTTAAACAGAAAATACATAGCTTAATGCAGTCAATTAACAGTTTAAAACTAAAAAATCACAGTTTAAACAGAAAATTCACAGGATAATATAGTCAATTCACAGTTTAAACAGAAAATTTACAGCTGGATGTAGTTAATTCACAATTTAAAATACAAAAATCACAATTTAATACACAAAATTAACAACTTAATATAGTCAATTCACAGTTTAAACAAAAATTCACAGCTTAATGCAGTCAATTTACAGTTTAAAACACAAAGATTACAGTTTAATACACAAAATTCACACTTTAGTACACAACTAGTATGCATTCATAACCGTATTACAAATTAAACTCTTAATACAATCAATTCACAATTTAATACAGAAAATTCACAGTTTAAATATTATATTCACATTTTAAAAAACATATTAATTCACTTATTCATAGTTCAATGCAAAACAATTATAAAATAATATATTTATACATATTTATACAACACAACAAATATATATATTAAAAAAAATAATACAAACATTTATACATAAATCATTTATAACATAAAATTTATAGTCCGTTCACAACTTAATATATCATCTATTCACAACTTAAAACATATTCCATTCACAACTTAATTCAATCGATTCGTAGTTTTCATATTATCAATTTAATGACTTTGATATATATATATATATATATATATATATATAATATATATATATACTAAGATTGTAGTGATAATACTATTTATTTATACAAGTCCATTTAGGTTCTTCTCTAACCTTCAAATAACATAATCTTTATTTTATGTGCTTATAAAATAATTTATACTCATAAGATAATAACATAATCTTTATTTTATGTGCTTATAAAATAATTTATACTCATAAGATACAATTGTTATTAAACTTTAAAAAAATAAATTAAAAACTAAGAAAGTTTACTTTGGAAGAATATATAACATTTATATTTTATATATATACATATCTTAACAGAGGTTACTGTGTTTCCTTTATTATATTCATAAATTCATAAATAACTAGCAGTTTTGTCACATGACACCATAAAATGCAACAAAAATAAGAAAATTTTACTTTTTACAACATAATACAATACAAGACATACGATATACATTAAAAAGTTTCAGCTAAGAAACAAATCGTTCAATCAATTCAACTTCATTCATGTCAAAGTAACACAGAAACCAAAGGAAGGCTTTCTACCATTTCTGTTCCCTGAATACCATTAATGACAAAAGCACCCGAAGCTAAAAATATTTATTCATATATTTCTGATTTTATTTTATAACTATCTATCCTCCACATCTAAAACTCTATTAGCAAATAATATATAACAAAATTAACATTAACAGTTTGGGTTTTAAAGTACCTCAAGAAAAACGTCACAAGCCCTAAGATTCAGAGAGGTTTAGGCAGGACTATAAGTATAAGCAACCCCATAAGAATATAGGTGAGTTTTGTATGTCCAAACCAAATTTAAGACCAAAGAATTCACACACACACACAAACACACACACAAAAAAAAAACTACAAATGTAATTTCCAAAAACACAACAAATTATGAGATTAATGCACGTTAGTCACTTTTATTGTTAAAATGACGATTTACAAATATTAGGCTTATCAAGAACTTGCTTGAATCACCACTAATGTAAATACTAATTATAATGTGTCATATGCTAAAAATTGTAATCAACAATTGGTGAAAGACCTGATACAAAAATGTAATCAACAGTTGGTGAAATAGAAACAATTGATCCCAAACTTTCAGAGAAAATAGTATCAAGCATTCCCAACCTTTGAAAGCAACTAACACACATTTATATTACAAATTTTGGCAGATATGTGCCGAAAGGGTTTAGGCTTTCAAAATCAAACATATATCTAAAGAAAGTTGAGCATATTGTACCTTTATTATCTTCTAGCAGGTTCATTCGTTTCTTAGCCAACTGTTGCCTGCGAAATTGTGGAGCTACTATAACTGCAATGAATGACCATGTCGGCAAACAGATATCTGGTCAACAAAATAAATAAAAAAACAAAAATAAATTCATTGTCATTCTATATTCATCATATAATTGGAAAAAGAGAACCTATCTTTCCTCATCTACCCATCAATAATGAACATGTTGTTTTCAAATTTACTTATAAACATCCTGGTAAACGTAAGGGTAAAACGGTCATTTATTCTAGACAAACATTATTTATCCACTCAGCAAAAAAAAGGGTTTTGAAGAAAAGATTCGCGTACCTGGAGGCGAGTTGATACATTTTCCCTAGTAATTCCACCCAAATATCATCAAATCAAGAATCCTTTTTGGCACAACTTCTGCATAATTTAGACCAAAAATACCAACTTCTAGTCAAATTTTATACAAACCCACCATGTGAAATTATGAAAATGGAGTCATTCTCAATCCTCAATCGATTAACAGAAGCAAGAAACTAAAAGAATCAATTTTGGGTGAACAAACTCCACAAAAAGTTTTCGTAGCTTTCTCTTCTTACTTGTGAGACTTGCATGCTTCAAGACTCATGATTGCTTTTCTTATTTGGATAATTGGATATACTTTTATTTCACTACACAACAAATTTTCATATATGCCACCATTTGTCCCAAACTGCAAGTCTAATATGGTTGGTATCAGTAAATCTGTAAATGTAAGCATGATGACAAGTATAATATCATTTTCAGCACTACAATTAATATCTGGAATGATCCATTAAACGTTCTTGATTTTGTTTACCTAATCCCCTTGCAGTAGGTTTCATTAAACTTGAGGTTCTTGGAAAACTTGTTTTCCAACCTGATTTTGTCTTAGATTTATAATTATCATTTCTTGTTGGTTGTTGCCTCTGGGAGGTTTGTTGACAGTAACTTTTGTCTTAGATTTACAATGATTCTTTGATTTTGACAGATAAACTAAATAAACCTAAAATAAAACTGAAATGATAAGCTGAAATTAGTTGTTGCTTGTAGATTTCTAGCCCTAATTATAGCCTAACTAAAAATGATTCATAAAAAATCAAAATGAAAACTTGAACATAACATGAATGTGCTTACTGTGTTATTGATGTCTTCCAAACATAAGTAAACCTCAAGTAAAGCCAAGGGTAAGGTCTGAGCATAGTTCCACCACTTGTAAATTAAGAAAATAAATATTAATAAAGCTTGCAAACCTTTAATTGAGATGTTCACCCATAAAAAACGTCGAATTGTACTTACATGGTGCTGGTTAAGAAGATCGATCAAGTTTCTGACACGACTTCAAAACCGATTTTCACCAAATTTGAAGAAGCCCTAACATGAAACATATTTCCATCAAACCACCAAACGAAATTCACAAAAATTACTTGATTTGATAATACCAGCCCTTTTCGATTGTCAGAGTTGAAGCCCCAAACCTACCTGGTGCAAAAATACAAATGAATGATCAAAACCACTTCCTACATCAGAAATCACAACTTAGAATCCATCAAAATATGAGCATATAACCCTAAAAAATAACTGAAAATGCCAATACATCACTTTAGGAAGAAAGAAATGGGGAATTTGGATCATGAAAAGTAGTTAACCCTAAGAAGTGTATGTACCTGATATCACAGCACAGTGAATGATCTTCTTACGGTCAGATGATGGAAGAAAAAGGACGTCGGGGAACATGACTGACATGAGAAAAAAACAGGGCAAAAACTGTACAGAAGAGGATAAAATCATGACAAACGCTGCACTCATGTTCATCCTCACCAGTTTTCATCTTTATCTAGTTGGTGCTACGTCTAGGGTTCGATGATGAAGATGGTTGATGAAGTGGTGATATGTGGTGAAGAAGAGGGGGGAAACACCTATGATGACCGCAAATGGAGGCCGACAACTGCTTGGGTCGCGTGTAGGATTTGACGACTTTGATTGTGGCCGACGACAACCAATCGAGGTGGGCAGACGGTGGATGTAGGTGAAGTGGGTTAAAACAGAAAGGAGTTTAACAATGAAGGCAGATGAAAAATAGGGTAATAGCCGGTGGAGCGCCTTGTTGAAGCAAACGGCGGAGAAGGCAGCGACGATGAGTGGTGATTGGCATCGAAGGTCGCACCACCGTCTATAATTGGTAAAAAGAAATGAATAGAAAACGGAAGACGGTGTAGGGATGTTTCGATTGATCCATCTGCGCTATTCCCTAATTGAAGAAAGTTGTAAAGCCTTCAGAGTCAAAGGCGGTGGAGAGGAGAGTAAAAACGTCCGATGGCAGGGGACCTAAATGACAATTTTACAAACCTATGTGGCAAAATGAAAAGGCATAAAAGAATTGTGGCTAAATTCTCCAGGAAAAGAAAAGTGAAGAAACATTGGTGGCAAAAGTAGTAAAACCAAAAAAGGAACTTAGATAAGGCTCCCCAAATTAAGTATATATATATATAATTATATTTAAGAATTAATCTAGAACTTAGATAAGGCTACCCACTATAAGGTTATGTTTGTCATACTAGCTGAAAAGCTAGCTGTTAGCTGAAAAGCTAGCTGATAAAAAATAACGTTTAGTAAAACTAGGTGAAAAGCTAGCTGAAATATATAAAATTACATAAAAGAACATGTAGGAGTATGTGTTTCTATAATTAATTAAGGGGTGTATTTGGAAAATTTTAAAACTACTCCTAAAAAGCTATTCTAACTAGCTTTTCAAAAAGCTAGCTTAGACAACATAAAAAAACTCGAAAAATAAGTTAGCTTATCAGGTAGTTGTGGCGTCAAACACAACCTAAGTAATCAATACTCTAAATAAATAAAATATATAGGTAAAAAAGTACCTGCACGAATCTGACATAAGTTAAGCATCACAGGTAACCCTTCTTTTTCTCTCTCTTATACTATGTAGTGTTAGGTGTTGTTTGTTTTTCGAAGCGAAAATTCATGAAGTCTGCGGACCACCTCTGCAATCCTCTGTAGCAGAAGAGGTGGGACAAACAGCTGCAGCCCATAATAAGAAGCATGTTTGTTTTTTAACATCTGCAGACTACTGCAGTAAACTGAAATTTAAATAAACTAATTTTATAAACTTAAAATAGTTCTCAACACCGAAATTTTAATAATTCTAATCTTAAAACATTGAAAGAGTACTAAAAATAACATGTAAAAAAACAAAAATATAAAACTTTTTTTAAAAAAAAAACTTACAAAAATATAAAAGAAGCTAACAGCTTTATTCTAGAAAAAAAAACTAATTTTAAAAAACATAAAAAAGAAAATAATAAAAAAAATTAAGAAAGTATTGCAAACGATGTGTACAAAGTTCGTAAAAAATTACACACGTTAAAAAAGATGAAACTGAAACTGAAACTGAAAATATTATTAACGGAAATGGTAAAAAAATTAAAAAAATCAAAGCTTTTTTTTTTTTTAAAAAAAGTTAAGTTAAAAAAATTTGTGGAAACTATAATAAGAAATTGTATCAAATCCGTAAATAAAAGCTTTTTTTTTAAATGTTTAAAAAAAATAAGTTATACCAAAATTCTAAAAAAAACTTCAAAAAATTGAAAGCTGAAGAGGTTTGAAGAGGCAAGTCAAGTGCTGCGCCACGCAGCACATGCGCAGAGGTTTTGCAGTCTGAAGTCTTCCAAAAAACAAACTGCTGCGAGAGGGAAAGTGTTGCGCGTGTGCTGCGCCGCGCAGCAGAAAGCGTTTTTAAGAGGTTTTTCTAAAAAAACAAACAACACCTTAGAATTGGTATACAAAGCAAAATAGCCACATCTTCAAGTCTCCTTCTTCACACGACAACTACTTCGCCGGAGTTAATAGCTTTTTGAGATGTATTCGCCGGAGTTCGTCATCAATAAAATATTCAGCAGATCTGGAACAAAAAATGAACAGATCTTGATGATCTCGCGTAGAAAAACCAACAACAGCTAAAAGCAACAAATTAAGGCCGGAAACAAGAGATTACAGTTGTTAAAACTCGTATTCTCTTAGATCAAAGCAGTTCCGGACTACGAACGTCATCAGAGTCAAGAAAAAATCACTGAAATTACTCAGATCTAACCGGATCTGAACAAGAAGCATAATGAAAGTCGATAGATACATAAATATCCAGACATACCAGCGGATACGGAAGTCGGAGGTGGTAATTCGCTGGAGATCGTATATGTGGAGTGGTTGCTGGTTCACTCGAGGTACTGTTCGGTCGTCGGAAAAGGTAACGTCGGTGGTAGATCGTGACAGTGATGGTTAATAAAGAGCAGTTTCTGTCCGATTTGTTGCATAAAACGATAGCATCTCATCGTTGATTGGAGGTTGCGATAAAGGAATAGATGTGGCGGTTGTAGGATCACCGCCGACGGTGGTGTTCATCAGGTGGTTAAAGAAGATGAGAGAAAGGGATTTTGTTGTTAGAGTGTTAAGAGAGAAATTATGTTTAGATTTAAATATAAGATCAGATGTAATAGATATAATATATAAAAATGGGTTTAAGATTTGAATTTTTTATAATTATGTCATTCCTTCATTGATGGACAAAAATACCCTTGACCGGGTTTGCAAACATTTATTTAAGAAAATGAAAATCAGTGATTTTTAGGGTTCTTAACCTTTATTGGTTCTCATTTGATCTTTTATCTCTCTCTCTATATATATATATATATATATATAAGGGGTGTGCTCGGTGCGGTTTGGTGCGGTTTAGAGCCAAAACCGCAAACCGCACCGCATATGCGGTTTGAGTTATTTAGAAACCGCAAACCGCACCGCGAACGTTTAAAACCGCATTATGCGGTGCGGTTTGGTGCGGGCGGTTTGTGCGGTTTACATGCGGTTTGACTAATTATTTACTTTAAATTTAATGATAATACTATCATTGTCATCACTAACGGCTCACTAAGTGGTTATTAAGAAATTTGGTGGTCAAAGAATTGTGGTCATTAACTACTTATGAATATACATAAGTTAAGAAAACATAGTGACCATAAAATAATGGTCACTGAATCTTAATTGAAAATGAGTTTGAGACAAAAAAAAATATATGGTAACTGCGTTAAATGATGGATTAATTAAGATTACATTTCAAAAACTTAAGATAATGTCACTAACTTAGGATATGTCAAAATATTATATATATATATATATATATATATATATATATATATATATATATATATATATATATAGAGAGAGAGAGAGAGAGAGAGAGTCAAGATCAAATAAGAAGGAAATTTTTGTTAGGAAAGTAAGAAGTTTTTTTCTACATATTTTTTTTTTTTTCGCGAACAAACAAAATGAATCATTAGATGATTCATTTGTAAGATGATTCACAAGAAAAAATTCTCAAAAAACATCTTGATGATTCATTTATAAATTTTTTGTTGTTATTCACTAAAATTGTCATAAAAATAAATTTTTTTTTAATTTACGTAAAAATAAATCATAAAGATGTTTTTTTGAGAATTTTTCTTGTGAATCATCTTACAAATGAATCATCTAGTGATTCATTTATTTTGTTCGTCAAAAAAAGAGGAGAAAAAAACTTCTTACCTTCCTACCAAAAAAAAAATACTTACCGGATATATATATATATAGATATATATATATAGATAGATATATATAGATATATATATATATATATATATGTAATCATTAATTGATTTTAACAATGTGGTGCGGTTTAAACCGCAATTTTTTAATCGAAAACCGCAAACCGCACCGAATAATGCGGTTTAACAAAAATACAAACCGCAAACCGCACCGCGAGTGTTTTAAACTGCGTTATGCGGTGCGGTTTAGTGCGGTGCGGGCGGTTTATGAGGTTTGTGCGGTTTATTGCACCCCCTAGTATATATATAATATATATATATATATATATATATATATCACTTCACTATTCTAATAAATAAATAGTTTTAATCTCCTTTTGGCAAGTGTCATTCTAATATAACTCTTCATTAATATTATGTCACGTGTCATGTAGATATATTAGGCAACTCATTTCAAAATTCAAATTTAAATTTTCTAATTATATGTTAAATTTGAAGTTATAATAACTTTAAAATTTTGATATATCTCTTAATTAATAGTTTATTTAAAATGAATTATTTAAAATAATTGATTAATAATTATAAATTTTTATTATAAAAGTTTAATTAATTTTATAACCGTAGTTCCACGGGTTATAAACTAATATATATATATATATATATATATATATATATATATATATAGATATATAGATGAGAGAGAGAGAGAGAGAGAGAGAGAGAGAGAGAGAGAGAGAGAGAGAGAGAGAGAGAGAGAGAGAGAGAGAGAGAGAGAGAGAGAGAGAAGAGAGAGAGAGAGAGAGAGAGAGAGAGAGAGAGAGAGAGAGAGAGAGAGAGAGATGTAGTACACAAAACAAAAAAGCCCTCAAACTTAGTAGAGGCTGAGTATTGTCTGTACAAAAACAACCCACCATCTACCAGATACATTCATCTTCTTAATTAATTAATCATATAAGCTTGCTTGCATACATACACATATAAGCTAACGACATGCACAGTACAACTAACTAATGTGAGGAGTTCTGGTTGGATTAATCACAAATCAGTTCCTGATCAAGACGTTGCCACTTGGTACGTAGAAGTCAATGATCACCCCTGTTGTTTCAGAAGCCGGAAGGATTACCTGATGAATGGTGGAGCATTGTGGTCGATGCCTGTAACGGCACAGCTGTTGTTTACTTCCATTAATTGGCCCAAAGCACTCGTCCACCCCTCTGAAACGGTCTAACCCTACCACATGACCAGAATCCAACTTACTTTTAGATGCCATCAAGAAGAAAAGTTGTATTAGAAGTTATAGAAATGTTCAGTATGATTTATGATGAGAGTTTGTTGCTTGTTTTACGCTGCATGAAGTTTGAGTCCATACTCGTCTTATAGAGAAGAATATTTTTAAGATTGTTCGATAGGAAATAGCATAAAAGAATCTAATGAAGGACGATTTCTAAATAGAAATGCCAATGAAAAAGGGATTCGAATCAATTCTATTTGGATAAATAGATTGAATTCATTCACAGAAAAGGCACCGGGTTTATACTTAAAGGATGCAGCTTTATCTTCAATCAATAGACAAATTTCATCTTGTATAATTGATTGTATCCATATTCCTTCCCAATTACAAAACCGCATAATATTTTCTATACATTTGCGTGTAATCTTCCTCTAGATAAAAGTACCGAAAAGCATATCTAAGATGCCG